TTTTTTTTTTTGGGAGAGCGCCACTAATATAATAAGCTAAAATTTATAAGTAAACAACTCGTCACGATTAAACCGCTGTTCTTCATTAGAAACGACACGAAAGATTTATCATTAGCTGCCTGTAAACAACTTCAAAGTTAACAACTTTAAAGTTGTTGCCTTCTCACCTCAAAATTAGTGTTTTTTAGCTCTAAAAAAAGAAAGAAATAACGATTATCAAGTGCTACTGCAACAATTACTATAAAGTTTTATTAACGCTTTCTTACAGTTATCGCATAGTTGCTAAATCAAGAGCAGACTATTCAACAAGGTAATAGAAATCTCTTTTTGAAACTGATCTTGCGGAGGCATAACAATTTTCGCTGCCTTTTGGGAAAGAGCGAACAGCGAATGAAAATAAGTCCGAAACTCCCCCAGTTTTATTTACCTAGAGATCAAATTTGTTACAACCTACTAAACTTCAGGCAACTAAAAAAAAATCCTAAGTTTCTCAAGACCCGAGTGCTGCAGTGCGTATTTACAACGCTCAGTATATCTGTAGCAGACAGTAATACCTTGTTAAAATGTGTAAAGACTGTTTTTTTTCCAATATCAGTAGTGAATGTAATTTTTCATCTTTTGCACACTTTGGCAGCTTGAAGAGCGAGATTGAAATTAGATTCAAAACTCCTTCACACTTTGGTGGGCGACGATGACAAAGAAATCTTCAACTTTATCTTCTTCAAGGAAAACTGAAAAAGTGCTTCCTCGCTCATTCAGCTACTTTATACTATTGTCTGATATCTTTTTTGTCTAAAAAACTTTATGCGGCCAGAGGCACCAACTATTACTAGTTGACTGACTGCACTGATAACCGTCTGAGAGATTTTAAAATTTTTTTGTTTGAATATCTAGCTTCTATTCTTATCAGAAATTAACAAGGATAAGAAGCATCTACATCGCCAGCTTAGCTAAAACTGTTTGAAATATAGGTAAGAACTCTTTACATCAAAATTTGCTTCCAGACTAATTTATGGCTGGATGTTAAGTTAAATGATAGGTTACAGCTATTTGGCAGGTAAATTTATTGAACTGTGTTCACTGCACATAAACGACAGCATACAACTATAGGGCATACTGTAAATCAAAAAATAACAAAATCCACAAGACATTTCGCTGCATCTTTTGCCTTCCCTGACATCCTGTCCACCGACGATTCAATAATTTACTGAAGGTATTTCTAAAAAAAATGAGAAATCAAGACATATATCATTTGAAAGCCAGCGAAGTAAACTTTTTCTTGACTAAAACCATATCTTACCGTCCCTTTCGCTGGCAAAGAGCCAAACGCCTTTAACATGCTAATATAATTTTTGTCGAGTATAGGGTGGCATTCTTCAGGAAGCTTCTTCCTTACCGTTTTCCTTAGTCCCGGTGAGGCGCCTTCCAGTTTTGTTGCGATTGCGGCCATCGGTTTAAGGGATATATCCTGAAACTCATAGTCCAACGATGTACGACATTTCCAGAAAACTTCAAATGCTCTTATTTTATTCATGAATGCAAATGCGGAAAATGATAATAAGTCAGATGATGAATGAAAACTGTACCACAAATGCGTTCCCAGTACCCGGGCAATTCTGGTTTAAATTCTGAAGAGCACAGGATAAGAAACATATCAAACTGCTAAAATGAATATATTTTTAAAGCAGTTGTGAAGTAAAAAACGAACTTGAAGCCAGAAATCTGGGAAAGAAATAGAGAAAAGAAACGATTATTGTTAGCGCATATATAAGAAGTAAATTCACGTGCTATCAAAACACAGCAATGTATAAAACTTACTCGCAGGTAGGTCCTAAATATTTCATTATTGCAAATCTACTTCCGTCTTTCGAAACTATTTTTTTAACACTCTCACTTTTAGAAAGTCCTCCTACTGACATCCTTAGATTGCATTTTGAGTCACATTCTGCAATGTTCTAATAGCTTGAAGGTTTTGTTACCAGTAAATATGCGAAAAAGTGGAGAGAAGCAAAACAAAAAATACTTTGTAAAGCTGCCTTAGAATGCTGATCCAAACATGGCTTGACTAAATAAATCAGATGAAAGTTTCCACCGCATGCTGATTCGAGACCTTCAGTAAAAATCTTGAAAAGGCTATGGCCGCCACAACGTGCCTTATCAACGCATTTTTTTGATTTCTTATATTCCCTTTAAAAAAGTTGTAAAGCGGGAGAACACGTTTGGATTCCACAAAGAGAGATATGAGTCAAGTTAGGGGAATCTGATAACTGCTAATTCACGGCATTTAAAATACTGCAGTCAAAAAAGACGTAGTGTTTTTGTTTACTAAAATAAGTCTTAATTAAAAACGTAAGGGAATGAGAAATTATACGAACGTTGACAGAAAACATAAAAGAATTCTTGTAGCTTAATTTCTCACTTGCACATCCTTTCAGTGTTGGTAAGAAGGCTTTCGTTGAAACTTAACAAAGTGCTTGTCGCACCCAGCAAACCTTTGACACACGATTGTACGCATTTTGGAGTACCACCAGCTCGCAATAATGTAGTCAAATCTGACTGACTGACCGATACTGTAAGACAAAAACAATATAATCGGGTAAAAAATCTGCCAATAAATTAAATAAGCTAATGTTACTGCTCTACAACCTGTTTGAGGACTAGAGTTTTGAAATGTACTCAGTGGATACAGCAGGAACATCAGGAGAACATAGTTAATCGCAGACATTCTTTTTGTCAATAGTCAAGTAGAGTTATCTGTAATAACTTTGACATATAATATAGAATATTTCCCTAATATTACTGTTATACTAATAAAAAGCAAAAACTTTAAATAAATTTTTCATTAGGAGCAGTAGATTTAAAAAATGACAAAATAAAAATGTTTCTTAGTGGTACTAAACAGGAGAAAAAAGAATAGCTAAGGTACCTAAAATAAAATACAGAGGACGATAAATGATAAGTGTTAGGACTGTTCAGTACGACAACAGAAATGCACTAACAACTAAATAATCGACAGGAAGAAAAATTGAAAAAAAAATAGGAAGAGGGAAATTCACCATATTACCCTCAAACACAGGAACAATAGATCAACAAATTCGATTCTTGACTAAAATAATATAATTATCGCTATAAACTAAAAATAAGTTTGATCTGAAACGGTAGATATGTCTTTGACTTTTAATTTTAGTTGGTTGTGTGGCAAAATATTACCCTACAAGTGCAATGCAAATTTCAAAAAAAAATTTTTTTAAATGGTGCCATATATAATAAGGAGGTTATTCACATCCAACTTCACAGCCATGAATCATTAGTGCATGAAAAGTAATTTACTGGATGCTGATACAGAATGTAAACAGGTACCTTAAAAATTTTCTTATTATTTGAATATATTTATTTCTCTTTGAGGTTCTGTTAATTAGAGAATGTTTTGATGTTTGGTATACGCTTATTGAAGATTAAGAAACATAGGCACATGTTAAATTTTGCGGTAAAATAACTTATAATCTTCGTTTCAGTTTTGCACTGGTAGTATTTTTAATCTACAATTATTCGAAACAATATAGATTTTATATAACGCATTTTTTGAAAGTATTGTACTTTTCATTACTCGACTAAAATTATTCATAACAGAGATTAACCAGTTCTACTTTAGAAATAAATTTATTTCTTTTGAAAAAGTCTAATAACTTTTATTGCTATTCAATTTACATCAGAAATATATCGTTGTCTTCAAATTTTTTCAGATGTTTTAGCTTTTAATTCTCTCTTTTGATCAATTCAAACCAAAAAAGCTTTCTACTGATCACACTAATTTCTTCTCTTAGAAATAATGTTTATTTTTTCTAGATTTTCCTTAAAGTACGCTCCTTATCGTCATATCATTTGAAATGACATTCAGCACAAAATGAAGAGCAAAAAGAGCACACGACTGTTGATCAGTAAAACGAGCCCAGAAAAAAAAAAATATTTTAATTTTCTCCGAGACTGCGTATATCTGACTTCTAAAAACTATTATTTCTAGTAAAAATAGGTCATTGGTTATCAAATAGTCGATGTTTTATGCTACAATACTTATCCAGTTGGTGCACAGTGAAGTTAGAAAACTCTGCATTCAACAGTAAAATAAAAAAAAATGTTCTCATTAATTTTCATCCATCGTCGCGCATTGTTTCCTTTGTTTTTTGGTTTTTAGCACCATAAATTTTTTACTGCTTAATATAAGCATAAATATACCATTATTCAGTTACTTATATTTAAATTTTATAAGATATTTGAACTTTGTTTTCTGATCATACTTTTTAAAGCAGTTTTTATTGTACTTTTTACAATTAAAAGAAACTCACAACAAAATACAGCTATCCCCCAATCTACTAACACTTAGAAAGCCGTCATTTACATCCACTTCAGGTTGCAGTTGTTAGGTTGTAATTTATCTTGCAGAATTGAGGTAAAAAATGTTTCAGCGATCACAGTTCCGTTCAAACCCAAACACTTATTTTATATTCAAGTTTCAATATATCCCTTACACGAATTTATACCGCAAAGCGCAATTCAGAACAGAAAAAGCCAATAATTTAGAAGTCAAAATCATCGAATATCCAAAATTGGATGTAGGTTGTTTTATTCGCTAGCAAAAAATTTTCACTATCTTGAAATGCCATGTCAAAACACCTAATATTCCAGCTGAGTGTAGAACGACTAGTTACAAGAAACAAAATATCTTTCTTTTCTTTACGCGTTTCAGTAAATAAACAAATACAGACATAATGAATTTCATCATTAGCACCACAAATAGCAAATATAAGTGGTTTCAAAGAAGTAGTCAGAAACCTGTTGAAGTTGCAAGACTCAGAAAACAAAAGAAAAAATATTACCCAAAAAAACCAACATAATTAAATAAACAAAATGAAAAAGATTTACAGAATCAACAGTACACCTTAGAACACAATAAAACCCCACAAACTTGATTATGATACCGTCGAAAGCACAGAAAAAACTGTGCTATCAAACATATTTCGGATCCATCTTCATATAGAAAAATATATTCGGCATATTACAATAAAATTACGAGATTTTCCTCCTTTCGCCTCCAGCTTTTTCTTCCCACCCCTTTTCTCTTGCCTCCTATTCTTCCAGTCATTCATTAAACCTCTTTTTATTTTTACAGCAATTTTATTTCTTAATTTTTTTCTTTATGCTTTTCTTCAAATTCCTACTTTTTCCCTCCTTTCACTCCTTTTCTCACAACCACTTCGTTCCTAGTGCCTTTTCCATGAAAGACTGGAAGACTAGGAGACAAGAGAAAAGGGGTGGGGAGAAAAGGTTGGAGGGGAAAAGGAGGAAAATTAGAGAACTTACGGAAAAAGAAAGAAGAGTAGGAAAAATAATGTTCACACTGGAAGAATAACAAAGAGAGAAAAATAAGAAGAAAAAAGGGAAGAAAAAAGAGGGAGCAAAGGAAAAAAAGGAAGGGGAAGGAGAGAAAGGTTTTAAACTTTCAGTCGTTCCCTCAAAGTACTGCCACTCTCACGAGGTAACAGTGTTTGTAAGAACGCTGAATGAAGTACACTCTGCCGCTTTTTTCCTTCATTGTAGCC